GCCAAAAATCATGTAAAACGTAGTAAATGAATTGGAAAAGAAACATGTAGTGGACAAAAATTCGAAGAAAAATTTTTGTAACTGATTCATATTAGCATTTTTCGAAAAATTCAAACAAAATTGTACTGTAGAAGCATCTTTGTTAACCGCTCGATTTTCTGAATTTAGTGATGTAAGTTTTCGAGCAGAAAATTTGAAGTGTTAGTAATAAGAAAACATGAATTCTTCGCTAAGTTAAATATATATTTAGTACATATATATAATTGAAGGCAGAAATGTGAAATATTTTTTTTTAATTATTGGTTAATTCGTGGTTAAGAAAAGTTTCACCATAGTTATTTATTTTTTTAGGTTCACATATATATCATACATACATATATATGTGATCCTAAAAACTACATTGTATATATGAAGAAGTTGGTTCGATGACGTCATCGAAACTTGTATTCTATAAACCTTAGTTTCTTTCCATAAATTCATCGTTTTTCTATGAGTATGCGTTTTTGGGCAGTAAATAACATAAGTGAGATAACATTTTTTTTTCGAATTAAACAAAGTATTTCATCACCTTTTGTTTTCACAAGTGAAAATTTGTTTTTTGGGAAACTACAAACGAAATTTTAAGTTACTAAAAATTAAATTCAATTCAAATGTAATTAAAATAATAATAATAGTAAACAAATAATAAAATAAAAAAATAATAATTTTAAAATCAACAATTTTTATCATCAAAATACTTAAATTAAAAAAATGTACATATATACGACTCGTTTAAAAATTTAAAAACTCTTTTGAAATATCATCGGTCCAAACAACACAGATCGGCCGAAAATCGCTTTAGAGGTTACAAATAGCCAAGTATTAATATTAAACAATACAGATCAACGTTAAAATCAATGAGAATACATAGTGACGCAGGCAGTAGGCAGAATTACTTTTCAAAATCTTGCCAATTTAAATGACATATATCAAGAAACAGTGAGGCATCAATATCTTTTCAGAGCGCCCTACAAAAGTCGGCGTCACGGAAACAGTTCTTGTTAATATTAAAAAAAAATTAACAATATTTGTTGTTGTTTAAATCTTTGTAAACATCTGAGAGATAGATACCACTTCTGCAGTTCTTATTTTGAACTATTATATGAAATGATCCGTTATTTATTTGAGTGCATAAGTTCGTGACCGATTCCGCTGGATGCCGTTCGAATCGTTTGTGAGTGGCGCTCGTGAAAGAAATATATACATATTATATATCGTTGGAAAGGTGACAGTCCGAACTGTAAATCAAGTATAAAATAACTTCATTTTGATTTGAGTTGCTTAGTGAAAAGACGCATGGAAGATGGACAACGAAAAAGATCATATGCGTCATATTATGTTATACGAGTTCCGCAGAGGAAAAACAGTAGGCGCTGCAACTAAAGATATTCGCGAAGTTTATTTGGACCGTGCTCCAGTACTCCGCACAGTAAAGAAATGGTTCGCGAAATTTCGTTCTAGAGATTTTAACCTCGAAGATCAACCTCGCAGTGGACGGCCTTCTGAGCTTAATGACGATGTTCTAAGGACTTTCGTTGCGAATAACTCACGTATTTCGACGGAAGAGGTTGCCAGTGAATTGAACGTCAACAAATCAAATGCGTTTCGTCGTTTAAAAAAGGTTGGATACACTGTGAAGCTCGATACTTGGGTGCCACATCAGTTGAGTGAAAAAACAAAGTGAACCATATGTCAACAGCAATTTCTTTGCTTCGACGGATCAAATACGAACCTTTTATGGATCGGATCGTCACTGGTGATGAAAAATGGATCCTGTACAATAATGTTCAACGCAAAAGAACATGGAAACAGGCACACAAAGGGGCGGAACCGATGTCGAAAGGTGGATTGGATCCGATGAAGGTACTGCTGTGCATTTGGTGGGATATCCGAGGCGTTATCTATTTTCAGCTTTTGCCAGCTGGAAAAACGATCACTGCCAACAAGTATTGTCAGCAATTGGTCGAATTGAAGAAAGCAATTGATGAAAAACGTCCGATTTTGGCCAATTGCCAAGGAGTTCTTTTCCATCATGACAACGCCAGGCCACATGTTGCAAAACCGACCCTGACCAAACTGAAGGAGATGAGTTGCGAAATCATGCCGCATCCCCCATTGCACCTTCTGATTATCATTTGTTTCGATCGCTGCAGAGCAATTTGAATGGAAAAAAATTTCAAAATGTGGAAGACGTCAAAAACGATCTTGACACCTTTTTCAATGGGAAACCGCGCGATTTCTATGAACCAGGTATTGTTGATTAATAAAAGTGCTTTCTTCAAAAAATTTCAATTTTAGTTTGCACTTGAAATCGGGCACGAACTTATGCACTCATCCAATCTATTGAACCAGGTGACGTAAAATGGGTTTACGGACAGTAACTGGAAACTAAGCCTTAATCATTGTCAGGTGTTCTGACTCGCCAACATTCCATAAAAGACCGGCAAGTGCAGCAGGAGTTCCTGGCTGCGAGTTCAAGGACGTATGCGTGAGGCAATACGAAAAAATCACTTAAAGAGAAGACAGACAGCTTAGGCTAAAGAGTTTATTACTTATTGTGAGGCTTCCGTTATCGAAGCAGATTCATTACATAAAAACCAATGTTAATATAAATGAAAATGCTCATGATTTTTGCATCAGGATAATGCAACTGCTTTTGTATATAAATATATAAATAATTGGCGCGTTGCAAACTTTGAAACTCCTTCGCTGCTTTGTGGTTTTACGTCTTGTGAATTTTCCAACAAATGGACCTACAGTTTATGCTAAGCCGCTTCCGAACGGCCAATGTATTTCCATGAGGCGCCTGTATTTAATGTCAAAAACACCCTAGAAGAACTTGATATTCCTTGTCTAATTTTCTATAGTTGATTTTTTGTTTTGTTTTTGTTTTGAACACACCTCTCACAAGCACGATTTCAGTCCGGAACAAAGTTTTTAGTGCAGCTTATTTAATAAATTAAAGTAACTTTATCAAATTAGTGTTAATTAGGCATTACTTAGGGCAGCAGCACAGTTTTATTTTTTAAGGGCTCATAAATCCTCAAGTAATTTAAAGAAGCGCAAAGGATTGCAGAAAGATTTGGTATGCAAGTAACATTGAGAGGTGAAAGTGGAGAACTTGTTTCCATATTTTATCAGGAAGCCTAAAATAATCTTTTGACAATAGAGAAAAATCTGAGTTATCTTGCAAAGCCACTGCAGCAGGGGTTGGAGCTAGAGAAATTGTATTTTCTAATTTATTGCACCTCAAGGCAAGATTGACGAATTCCGGCACTTTGACGTATAATTTTTTAGCGTCGTTTGTTTGTTTTTTTTAACCGTTATTATGGGTAAATAAAGAGTTTAGACATTTTACAAGTAAAAGCTTCGCTAGTAAAAAATTTGGAGCAATAAACGCTTTCGCAACGCATTGAAATTATTGAATTTCTCATAAAAATGGTTAAAACCTGACAGAGACAGTTCGTAAAATTAAAACATTCGTGAAGCACCTTGTCGAACCGCAATACAGAAATTGGTGAAAAAAGTGGAGCTACTGGGATGTGAAGAATTAGAAGAATGAAACACTTGCACTTCGCTTAAGAACAACTGAGAATATGGCTGCTGTAGCTCAAAGTTTAGGATAAATGCCAGGTTTGTCCATTTCTCTTAGTCGACATTCCACAAATGTCATAACACCATATCTTGCATAAAAACTTGGATCTTAAGGCTTATAAAGTGCAGTTAACACAAAAACTCAAGCCGACCGATCATTAACGGCGTCGAGTCTTTGGCTGATTTGTTTTCTGAACTGCATGAAAATGAGTCCGGAGTTTCATCGGAAAATCAACTTCACTGATGAGGCCCATTCTCAACTCGATGGCTACGTCAATATGCAAAACTGTCGTTTCTAAGGCTCCGTAAAATCAAGATTTATCGTTAAAAAGCCTCTCCATCCTTAACGTGTAACTTGTTTAGTGCTCTTTCTGGTCCGGAGTAGTCATTTGACTTTACTTTTTCGAAAAATGGACCGAAGAAGCATTTACAGTAAATGTTTTGCGCTATCGGGAGATGATTAATGATTTTTGATAGCCGAAATTGGATGGTATTGATCTTTAGTTTTAATATAACGGCGATACGTGCCGCACAACGACCGAAACCAGCGATCTTTGAAGAGAAAAATTTCCGAGCCGTCTTATCTCTCGAAGAAGTGATTGGAATTGGCTATCGAGATCTTGTGACTTCTTCATATGGGTCGACGTGAAAGACAAGTTCTGCGCCAAAAGGCCAACGTTGATTCGCTTGGCGATTAGATGATTAAAAATCTTATAAAAAAAAAATGATACAGCGCCGTAGCGTAGCTGTTGTGGCCGTTTGGCGGATATTGCTTCAAATTATTAATGAATTGTCTCAAAAAAAAAACATTTTTCTTTGAATATAAAAGCAACACCTCTCATTAGAGAAATCGTATTAGGCAATATATGCTAAGCTTATCTGGGCATAAAGGGAAGAGTCGTAGCTCATTTATTGATTTGAAATTTAAAATTTTGGCAGAGAATGTGAATAAATCTGTCTGGTAAGCTGTACAGTAATTTTTTTTTTTTGTCATCGAAAAATAAAAATTTCGTAGTTCTGAAATATATATGTATCACGTTCAGATAACGCAGGTGAGAAAATGATCATCGACCGTTGTCAATTAAATAAAGATATAATATTTCAAAGAGTTACAAACCAAAATCAAATATTATATTTATGTATATATATGTAGTATGAAACTAATAATTAAAAATTAAAACTTAAGATCTTCAACTAGAAGTGTGTATGTATGCATTTGAGTATGAAATATATGTAACATATTTTCACGGTAACTGTAACGGCAGCGTTTACGTTTATACGTTTCAATTTACAAAATACAGAATGACAGAACGGAGTTGTGGATTACAGATAGATTGAGAGTGGGAAAGAGAGTGTGGGAGTCTTACTTGCCGCACACCTTGCAGGGGAAATCGATATCCTTGTTGGTGGTGCTGCTAGCAGCAGTGCCCGCGCCGCTTTGACTAGCGTCTTTAAGTAATACACCGTTGGCACCACCGCCGCTCGCTTGCGTATGCGTTTGCGATGTACCAACGCCGGTGGTCTGTTGAGCGACGCCTGCTGAGCCGCTTATTATGGTGCTATTTGTATTAGTGTTGTTGCCTGAAGCGTTATTGTTGTAATTGTGATGGTTATGATTACTATTATTGTTATTATTATTATTGCTGTTGTTGTTGATGCTATTTTGATGGCTACTGGCATTTCGACCGTACGTATGTATGCGTGTGTGGCCATGCAGGGCAGCTTTGGAGGTAAAGCTCTGTGTATATGCAGCGGCAGCGTAAAATGAGCAGGGTTGCAGTTTCGTGGAAGGGAAAATTAGTAATTTACTATATTTAGTGGCAAATTTCACTGAGTGGGTCAAAATGATGGTTGTCTGTAGTCAATAATACTCAAATTCCATGGCTTTGAAGGAGTTTATGTGATGAATTTTTTCAATAGCAAAGCTTCTTTAGACAACCTTCATTTCGACTCACCCCTAAGAATTACTAACTGCTCATTTATAAACTTCCAATGTAGCTGTAGTCTTAGAAACCTATGCACTTACCGCAGAGCAATCCGGTACTTCACATACGTATGGCTTTGGATCGTTCGCCGGTGGCGGCTGTGGCGTTTCGGTCTTCAGATGCGACACTTTGTAGTCAACACAAAGCTTCTTCCAAAAGTAATACATTTGCACACAGTCGCCCGTTGTCTTCGTACCCAACTGTGGATGGCAAGTGGCAAATCGTTGAAAATGCAATTCCCGCTGTTATAAAACCGTTATCAATACTACTTACCTCTAGCGAAATGCGTCCAAAGTCTTTACCATGACGTTCCAAACCCTTTAGGAACACCTCCAATTCCGCTGCGGACCATTTCATTTGGAATGCATTCGATTGCGTTTGCAATAGCGTAAGTACCGCTGCCGCCATGTTGCCACGTGCTTTGAGCAGTGTTTGCAATGCCACCTCTTCCGAGTGACTGCCCAAAGGCACGGCCGATGATTTGCTCAGGTCAATGTAGCGCATTAAAATTCTCTCGTCCGTTTGTACAGTTGGATCCCACATTTGTTCCGCACCCACGGGCTCCTCGACATCAAAACAAGACTTCATTTTATACAATTCACCATCGGTTGCGGCGTCACTACCTGCACTATGTATACGCTCTCGGCAGGGTGGCAATTGCGCTTGATAAGCTGAACCCAAATTGACTTTAGATTCATCCGAAAAGTCCACCAACCCGACCGCATCGTCGTAGTCATCGTTGAAACTATCGAAACCGAGCAGTCCTGTGTTGAGTTGTTTACGTACAGTGCAGTACAGCCCGACACCCTTGCGTTCGGGATTGAGTATTGGCGCAGGAGTGTAGTGTGTGCGTGACGGCTTTCGCAGCTTTGAGCGGTACGGCGAAAGCGGATGATACTTAGCGTAGCTGTGTGAATTACTGCAATCATTGGGATTTTGCGGTCGCAAACGCCGTTTCAATATGGAATTAGTTTGATTGGAGAGCGGTTGCAGGGTTGAAATGACCGTGGATGCGACAGGTGGTAGGCATCTGCTCGAAGCATTTGTAATATTGCAAGCACTTATTTGATGGCCATTCTGTTGCAATGTGGTCAAGGAGCTGGTGGAATTACTGGAGTTGCTGGCGAAGTAAATGTTTGTGTCTGTTTGAATGCTGCCGCCAGCAGAGAGCAGACCCACATCGACTTGCTGTCCATTTATGTGGATCTCCTGTTTGTCTGTCGAGCCTGTGAATACCAACTGTTGCTGCAGCATGCCGCTATCCATTGTGGCTATATGCTGGATCGGTGTATTGATGTCAATATATTGTTGTTGGTTTTGTACTTGTGCTAGGTTTTGTAGGTTATACTGCAGGGTGGCATTGGTTTCAGCAGCTTGCTGAATTGCGATTGCCAACTGATTGCTATTGACACAATTGCCACCTGTTGGCATTTGTTGCTGATGTTGTTGCATTTGTTGCTCGATTTGCTGGGCGAATAGTAACTGCTGCGCCGTCTCCTGTATGTGCTGCTGCGTGTGTGTTCCTGTTTGCTGCTGTTGCTGCTGCTGTTGTTGTTGGTGGGCTTGTACTTGCTGTGTGGTCTGTATGACTTGAGCTCTCTGTTGTCCGAAATCACGCGGCGAGGAGGACAGCAGCGGATCATCCGAGTTCGGCATCATTTGTGATTGCAGACCCAAACCGGGCAAGTAATACAAATCTATCATATTTTCAGCCGACTGTTCTTCGCACGGCAGATTGATATTCTCGTCGGGCAATACATCACGCAGTACCTCTTTCACTTCGTCATCGGTGCCGATACTGCCGGTGAAAAATGATTCAGGCAAAGGCGATGTTGCATTACGCGAGTCATTCATAAACTCCTGGTCCTCGTCCAAAAAGGCGAGATTGGACTCAGCAAAGTCGCGCAAATCACATTCGGTGTCGTCATCTTGTGTACCGTTCAGTAAGTCTTCAACCTTAATGGAACCATCAAATGCGCTCTCCTCCAAAACGGTCTTCAACTTCAATATCTTTTCGGTATCTGTGAGTTCGTTCTGGGTGTCGTTGTTCTTGAAGAATGTCACCTCAGTGGCTGACTGCGTTAGGAAATCCGCGGAGCATTTATCATTGAAAAAATTGTTCGTCACTTCTACATACTGTTGTCCATCGTCTACATATGGCGAGGACTGTGTCATGTTTTCATGGCTGGAAGGTGGCGTAGGATAGGCGAGCGGGGAATTTATCGGTGAGGATATTGTACCCAGTTGATGCGTTTGGTTTCGCATGCTAGTCACAGCCTGAATCTGGGCACTGTTTTGCATGATTAACTCTTTGGAATGAAATTGTTGGAAAGTGGGTAAAGTGGTGGTGGGCATGGCATTCATACTACCTTCGGCTTGTAATTTCAAGTATTCCGCTTGTATGCAATTACCATTATTGTCATTTTGATCGCCCTCGGCCTGAATCCCTATACCAGTCACAGTGCCAAACTGTTCGGAATGTTCACTTTTCAATTGTTGCGAGTCATCATTGAGTAATTGCATCGAATCCACCGTCTGCAACAGCATATCCGTATCGGCGACATTATACACGTCGGCGTCCTCAAAGAACCCCGTCCCGTCACTGCTATAAGTAACGGTATATACGTCGCCACCTATACCTCTGCCTCCAGTGCCATTCTGCGCTATAGTAAGCGAAAGTGGCATAGTGTCAGCTAGACTGGCGGGCGCAGCGGATCGCGACGAATTCGATGCGCTCGACTTGCGGGTGGGTAAGATCTGTACGTCGGACGGTATAATCACAGTGCGATTGTTGTTTGTGATTATCTGACGGGATCCGCCGTTGCCATTGCCGTTGCCATTGCCATTGCCATTGCCATTATTACTGCTGCTACCTCCCATATTTGTGATTGTGTTTGTACTATTTATTGGCTTCTTGGCAGTGACGGCTATGCGCGTTCCACGCTTCAATAATTCAATGAGCGTAGAGTCTTTTGGATCGGTAGAGGTGCCCTTAGTAGTCGTTGTAATTGTTGTCGTTGCTGTTGATTTCATCGTTGACGTATTCATCGTTGCATTGTTGGCTTGCAGAGCTGCACTCAAGCCCAGACCCATACCGTGGCCCGCACTACCAGTATTCTTGTCTTGTTGTTTCGTACTGAATATCTCGATACCGTGAGACATTCCGATTTGCTGCAAGCCCAATGTCCCACCATTATAGTTTTTGATTGTTGCAGCAGATGGTAGCATGGCTGTTGTTGTTGAGGCGGTGGACGAACTCTGATTTGTAGAGTTGCTGTTACTGCCATTGCTACTACTATTGTTGTTGTTGTTGTTGTTGTTATTGTTGTTGTTGTTGTTGTTGTTATTGTTGTGTGATTTGGGACTAAGGAAACTTTCTAGATCGCTAATCGATCGGCGGATTGTGGATGTGCTGGATACACTACTGGGTGGTGCAGGAACTACGAAGGCACCCTGCGAACCCAACGAACAAAAGCACATAATCAAAATTATTAATATTACACCAAGTAAGCGAGCCAATACCTGGCGAACAATCACTCACCTTGTTCATATCTTTGCGTTTGCTAATGATTTTCTCCTCGATTAATGCGCGTACGCCAATACTGGCTGTCTGTAGCGGCGGTCCGCTGGGCTCTTTCTTTTCGTTCTTTTTAGTTTCGGGGTCTTTCTTGAAATAACCACCATGGAGTCGCATATGCCCATTGAGTGCGGGTATATTCTTGAACTTACGATGACACAAATTACATTCAACTTGCTTCTGATCCATCTTGACGATATTCAGTAGATGAGGATTTATCGCCGTCACAAATTGCTGATTTATCTCCTCCTCCTTGGCTTCGATGGGCGATGTTGCTGTGCTGGACGCTGTATCGGAATTAGTCTCGTCAACAGAAATGGATACGTTCTGTGCGGTGTTTAACTAGAAAGGAGGAGAAACAATTCAAATGAAAGACTTAAGAGATGTTCAAAGAAAGGAAACTTGTGCACTTTACTCTATATTTCAGAGTCTCTACGACTTTAAGACATATTCTAAGCTATGATCTTTCAATGCTTTTGAAAAACACTTTTAGATTTAGGTGATATCGTTATTTGAACCCACAACCTGTAAGTCAGTATACCTAAAGATGCATATATTTATATATATATAATTGGCGGCTTATAATCTCTGATGTTATTTCTAATGTGCCTCTTGGACGGTCAGAAATACACTCGGGGGGCTGAAAGCCGATCGCAATTAGAAGAATTAATTTTCTATAAGTCTAAAAAGGGCTCGAACACTGGTCAGACTATACTCGGAATGTAACGAATATGTTGAAAGCTCATAATATGTAATTGAGTATCGCAAAGTTTCTGTGTAAAGCGTTACAGTCGCGGGGCTTTACTCAATTCCTACTCTTCTGCCCACGTTGCGGCGCTGAAATCGTAAGCAACTACCAGGAATGTCGGGTTATTTAATTCGGACTCTTCCGCTGCCCAGGTTGACGTCCTTACTAAACTACAGGCTTATGTCATTAGTGTCCAAGAAGAGCGATGGACGGGTCAAGGACGGAAACGATTAGGAAATTTAGTTGAAATTTACTACAGCGCCTATAAAAGGAGCGAAAATTTGGTGCCGGATTCGTGATTGGAGAGTGACTCCGACGCCGGGTACTAACATTCTTCCCAGTGGTTGAACGCCTCGTCACAATCCGCATCAAAGCAAAATGGAACGGAAGAAAATGATGATGTGACAAAGGATACCTTGTACGAGCTCCTGCAGCGCATTCATGAGCGTTGCCCCCATTACTATGTGAAAATCACGCTTGGCGACTTAACGCCAGGATGGACAAAGAGGGTATCTTGGGCACAACTATTAAAGAATTCAGCCTACACAACGAAACATCCCCAAATGTGTTGAGGCTGATCGACTTTGCCAAGGCCCGAAATATGATTGTCTATAGTACAAGATTCCAGCATCGAAAAACTCAGAACCTAACCGATGATGTTGTGAAAGGCGGAAAAATGTCACGAGTGTTCTTGAACATCGACTTGCATCGATTACAATAGACAGCCGAACAAGCTCCTATTCGACTTGCATTCCTGTTCTCTGAGAGCACTCATCAGCACCTCGGTATAAGAGAACTGTGGGAAAGAGTACCAAGCTCTCTACGTATAGCTGCAAGCGAAACTATTGGTTTTCGAAAAGTTTGCAAAAACAGCTGGTACAATTAGTACAATAAGGGCTGAAGTGTCACAGTGGAGAGAAAGCAGAGTGTCTACCTCACTACGTTGCGATCGACTGTGAGTACGAAGAGATTGAGAAGCTGGCCGACAAGGATAATGCTCGAAAATTCTACGTCGACTTACAAGAGCTTTCAGGACTGACGCAAACTTTTGGAGCCTACTGAATGAGAATTACGGTGCAACACCAGGAGATAGCGTTTATGATTTCTTAAGCTATGACGATGGAGCAAATGTTTCATTGCCCCACTATGAAGGAGTTTGAATAGCAACAAAGTCGCAACAAAATCATTGTTTAAAATGAAACCCACAGCCATAATAGATCGTGTTTGCCGCGCTCTATCGAAAATCACGTTATCTAACAAAAACAGTTTCGCCCTGAATACTTAAGAGCAATGGAGGACAGGAGTACCTAACAAACAATTTCGAATTGACAAAAACATCTGTTGTGAACTCCCATCAACCACTTCGTAAATTACACCACCGCAATGATCTTACCAATTGCATATTCCATGTACGCGGCCTGCTCGCTGTGCCACTCGTTCCATGTTGCTGACCCATCAGGCCAAGTGCTGCCGACGAGGGATTCGTGTCCACTTTGTATGAATTCACGCTTGTGGGCGACGACACTGTCACCTGTGCACTGGTCTGTTTCGTCTGTTGCATAATTTTACTTATCAAATCTAATTGTTCACGCGTTAGACCTTCGCCGGCATCCACCAGACTTGTCTCGGTGAGGGCAATTGTAGGTGATGAGGCGGGTAGCGATACACCGCTGGCCGATGATGCCGACGATGTTGATGTGGGTGAAAGCAAAGTGACGCCTGTTTTCAACGGCAAATTTATTGCTTTTATTTGTTCCTCCGTAAGTGTAATGCCGGTGGCCGCATCAACAACAGTACCACCAGTGGAAATGTATGTACGTATACAAGTTGCGCCATCCGGCGAACTGGCATCACCTGGAAAATATTGATGAACAAAATCACTCACCAGTATACAACTTAACTCCACGGCGAATTCACTAATCGACTTACCACTTGCTGTGGCCGGTGAAAGACTTAGGCCATTCGGTGTACCCGAGGTTGGTGAGAGTGTTTGATTTTGTGGCGTTATAATACCCGAATGATGGTTTTCAGTGTGGCGTCGCAGGGAACGTGCATCGCAATATGATTTGCCGCAACCTTCAGCTTTGCATTCGTAAGGTTTCTTATTGCGATGTGTCATCATGTGGCCATTTCTGTGTGAACAAATTCGGGTATAAATGAATAAATAAAGACCAATAACCGGAAGTTGAGAAAGCTACTACGAAATTTATGGATGTGCGATTAATCGATTAATTAAGCACTGATTGAATAATTTATTAAAGGCGAATTTAATTTATTAAAGGCGAATTTAATTTTTATTATTCCATTTAAATTTATTGCAATAATGAAATTACTCATTAATCGCAAACTGAACTCGTTACTTTTTACACAAAATATTGTTAAAAATAAGACAAATTAATTTGAATATTTGAATCGTTGAAAATAAATTCATTAATCACACATCCCTAATGCTATTTATTTATGTGCTGATATATTTATTAAGTTCATCGATCAAAATTTTTTGGAAATTGTTGCAATTAACTCACAAGTGATCTTGTCGCTTAAATGCCTTTGAACACATCGCACACACGTATTTCCGCTCGTCGCTGTGCGTCAGTTTATGTTTTGCCAACGCTGACGCATTTCCAAAGATTTTACTACAAATCTGCAATTATTGTAGAGAAGACAACAACAAAATGAGAAATTGTATAATCATACATGTTTACTATAAACATACATCTCAACACATACACACACACACACACACACACACAAACCCGCTCACATACGAGTATTTATGTGAGAAAATTAGAAAATATTTCAAAACACCACACGTGCTACAAATATGGCAGACAAAAAACAAAAAAAAAAACAAAAACAAAAGAACAAAAACAAAAAGAAGCAAATAAGTATATAAAAAACAATTAATGGAAAATATATGAGCATCATTAAGATCACGCCGAACTCGCGTGCTTCAACCGCACATCCGTGGCTTGCTGTGACTGCGGAAATGTGTTGTAGACAGCACCCACCCAATGAACCAAATCGCATTTGTTCATTATGCAATATAAACATTGCGAGCTAATAATTGTACATTTGTTTTTTTTTTTTTACTAAATCCTATGAGTCCACTTTGTGAATTTCGATGGAAATGTTTGGCAAACCGTCTTCTAGCTAAAAGACCACCATAAGCTCATGAATTATTTCTTCTTTCGTTGACCACCAAACAAAATAGCACAGCGCTACACCACAGTTTCAACGACGGAAACGGTTGCTTTATAGTTCAATCAGCCAAAACGTTGCAACTCAGCTGATCTAACTCTCACCGGAAAAACTTTAAAAACGAGTAGCATCGAATTTCAGTATTCTCTTTGACATATTTGACAATTTTTGTTTGCATCTTTTTATATACAAATCTTTTGTCCGCGTGTTTGTAATTGAACTCCATCTAAACGGCTGGACCGATTTTGATGAATTTTTTTCCGTGTATTCAATGGGGTTTCAGGGTGGTTTAGATTCACAATTCAATCAACTAGATAATGTTTTAACAATGAATTTATTTATTTATAATTTGTTGTTGATATTACAACGTATCTGAATATCTGGCATGACTTCAGCAATCCAGAAAATTTCGCTACAATGAAATAATAAAATTAAATAAGCAACAAATGAGCCGCACAGCGCAAACATCGATTAACTCCATAAAACAAAAAAAGAACGTGTAGCACAAAAGTAGTTTGCTAGGTTCCGTTGCGGTAATTTCGATGTCAAAGATGCACTACGCGTCAGGAGGCCTGTCGTCGAAAATTGTGATAAAACCATGGAAATAGTGGAAATAGACCATGAGCACTTATTTAATTCCTGAGGAACTTAAGTTAAGCCAGAAAACCATTTGGAACCATTTGCATAACCTTGGATTCAAAAAGAAGCTCGATGTTTGGATGCCACACCAACTAACGCTAAAAAACATGATGGATCGAGTTTCCATCTGCGAATCGCTGCTGAATCGCAACAAAATCCACCCGTTTCTGAAGCGGATTGTAACAGGCGATGTAAAATGGGTCACTTACGACAACATGCATGTTTGGTGGGATTGGCAAGCAATCATGTACCAGGAGCTGCTTCCTTGTGGTTTATCGCTGAATTCGGCCCTCTACTGCCAATAACTGGATAGCTTGAAGGCAGCACTCATCCAGAAGAGGCCATATTTGATCACTAGAGCACGAGTTGTGTTCCATCAGTACAACGCCAGCTCGAATAGGAGGTTCTATACACCCACCTTATAGTCCGGACCTGGCACCAAGTGATTACCATCCTTTCCTGTCCATGGCGAATGCGCTTATTGGTGAGAAGTTGGCCTCAAGAAAGGCCTGTGAAAATTGGCTCTCCGAGTTTTTTGTCAATAGGAAGGCAGCCTTCTACGAGAGGGGTATCGTGAAGTTGGCATCTCGTTGGCAACAAGTTTACGAACAAAGCGGCGCATATTTGACTTAAATCGAACAAATGTACACAAAGTTATCATATTTTGAAAAATCTATAAAAAAAAATACCGAACGAACTTTGTACTTGACCTAATAATATTGTATAGGTAAATTACAAAATTTTAACAAAATAAAATTTCATTTAGTTCTATACGAGTGGATTAACAAAAAATCGGTAAATTGTTCCATTTGTTTTTATTAAATCTAAAAAAAAACCGAATTCCTTTGCAATTATTTTATTAGTTTTCCTTTCGAATTTTAGAACGATCGGCTAAAATGAATGCGAGAAAACGCAAGATAGCTTAAGTTCACATTGGCAAAGACCCAAGATTGACACCGAAATTTTGTTAATCCCCTCGTATTGATGTTATTAAAGAGTATAGAATTTGGAAATTTAGTTTAGAGAACGTCACAAACTTTTGTAAGAAATTCCATGTTTAACACATTCAAATTGTTATTATAATAAATTAGATAATATGAACCTCAAACGGAAGATATTTAAGAAAGGCTTAAAGGGGAAATATTTCCCACCCGTCCAATATTCAGGTGTATCCAGTGATTCCTTTGTGGCTCCACATATCAACTAGCCATATCGGACAACAGGTTGACGATATAAAGACGATGATGAGGCATTCTTTAATTAGTCTAAATAGCACGAAATATACATCCGAGGATATTCGCCTGGCGTTAAAAATAAATGCCGACGTTCCTAATTGAAGTGACGCTACGGAAGAGCTTCCTCAATTACTATCACTACCACTTCAAAAATGCACCCTGTCTGCGCGCCTTTCGCATTGTTTTCGCTAAGAAACATACATAAAAATACTTTTTATGTAAACTAACTGAGTTCATACCTTCAGCAGAGTATTTAGTTTCAAAGCATATCCTATACACGAGTACATACTACAATATTTGCCCGAGTTTTAAATTCCAAATTAAAGAAAATTAAACTAAAGTATTTAATAAACACGTGTAAAATTTTGTTGATGCATGTGTACATATGTATTTACTCATGCAAACGAGTGAATAATATTGAAATACAGTGTGCTCTAATAGTTTTCATTTAAATATACATAATTTTTCTTTGGATCTTTGCCAAATAATTTCACAGTTGCTTGATTAGAAATTTGGACATTTACGAGTTAAATAAGATTTAGATCATATAACAATTTTGAAAATATTGACAAGTATCAGGTTGACAACGAATAGTGAAAACAAGTACGGTATGATTTTTTTATAACAATTCGCCCAGCGCTGCGCTCAAGCTTTTGGAATTCGAATTCTCGTCGGCATAAAAGTTTTGTTGCAAACTAAACAAGCTTTTGCTTTTGTCAAAAGATGGTCAAAAGAATTTAAAAGGCCCTTTGGTGGTGAAAGCACTTTATACGACTTTAGAGAAGGCCAAATATTAGAATATGCTTCCCTGATATGGAACCCCAATTATCAGGTTCATTTCCGATAAGTTGGAGTCTGTTTAAAAACAATTTTTACTTTTGGCATTACGACATTTCCGATTTTCTTTCTTATACCATACGTTTAAAGCTTTTAAATCTAACTACTCTCGCAAGTCGTAGAGAAATGTTAGACGCATTGCTCGTAGTGAGACTTCTTAACGGATCCAACTCGTGTATCCAGGCAGTTAAGGCATTTACTCTTAAAGTCTTGTAAAACCTTTTCGCCGAATTTTTCAAAATTTTAATTTTCACTCCAGCTCCTTCGACCTCTCAGACTCCCTTTTTTGCATGAGAATAACTTATTTTGCTTCTCTCAACAATTAAATTTTAAAATTCCTCAATAACTTAAGTTCAGCTGTTCAATAATAATTTTTTCCTGTTGCCGAACAGTTTTAAATCTCGACATTTGACAAAAGCTTCCCAAGACTCGGCCTACTCGGTACGTTATGCGAGTGTCGTCTCTCGTGCCGGTTGGGCGGGTGATGGGTACTCGTTGGGCTGATTATTATTAATATACTAGTGGAAGTAATGCACCTACATCCATACTAGGTTTATTTGTAACAAAAGTTAGGTTTAGGCAGCAAACTCTAAGACCAGACTCGGTCATTTTTCATGTTAGTTTCTGGATCTACGCCATTGATACATTTTTATAAGAACCTGTTAGGAAACAATCTTTTTGTATTTATTTGTAATATTTGCCCCTTTTTACCTTCTCTACATAATCGCCATCAATTTCAATGCATTTCTTAAACCTATAGATCCCCTTCTGAAAACAGTCTTCAAAAACTTGTTTCTTAAGCTATTCCTTGTTCCTATTAAAGACCTTTCCCTTCAAATTTTTTTTTTCTAATTTTTCGTAATAACCAGAAATTACAAGGTGTCATATCCGGTAAATATGATGCTGGACGTATTTCTTCGATCCCTGAGATCGCAACAAAATTACGAGTTATTTCAGCAGTGGGATGGCGCGTTGTCATGATGTAAAAAGTTGCCCAGCAAATCTTCTTTCTCACTGTTTTCAAACAAATTTTGGAAAACTTTTGAGGGCTTGGTGCACTATTTTGCAGTTACCGTCTGACCCTTTTTCAGTGGAGAAGCAGCTGCGATTTTAAACTGACGTCATTACTTTTGTTGCTTTTATTTTACGGGGCGGATTTTCTCCCTTTGGGCTCCATACCATGGACTGCTGTTTGGCTTCTGGATCGTACTTATAGAACCAAGATTCGTCACCGGTAATGACTTTACTAAAGTTGCTAGGCTGACCATTTTCGAAGTTGTTTAGGAAGAATTGTGCAAAATGCACCAGAGCTTCTTTGGGGCCTCATTAAAAACTCGTGGTACACATCGTGATAGAGCCATAGCATTCGAGCACAAATCATTAGCAATCATTTCTTGTGTCAATCATCAATTTTGGACTTCACCAAAGCTACAGCGACGTCATCAGTTCTGTACAGAAAAATGCCAGGTCTGGAACTTTCGGTACTACTTAAAACTAGTCTTTAAGGACGGTGCATTCGTTACATATGCAATTCGGCACTCACTGAGTATTTGTATTGGCTGTAAATTACGCCGAAACCCGAAGAGAATCGCATGGCGAAGCTCTGTTTGCGTTGGTGGTGGAATTTCGTGTGACCTATTCTCAGCTATCTTGCGTATTCTCGTCTCCATTTCAGCCGATCGTTCTAAAATTTGAAAGGAGGACTAATAAAGTAATTACAACGGATTTGGTA